TGGGCAGCCGCAGCCAGTGCCATGGGCTCGGGGCAGGCGCATGACGGGAGAACTTTGCCGCCGGGTGGCAGAGGAGCGGCTCCGCTCGCCGGCCTGGGACAACTGGGGGGGAGGATGTGCAGCCGGGAGTGCCCATGCTCCTGCCTCCGCCTCCCTACCCCGACACGAGCCCGTGCCCTGTGCTGCCGGAGTGGCCCCGCGCGGGAAGCCAAGCAGCGGCCACTGGCATTGCCGGCCCGTGCCTGCCTCTTCACCCGCCCGCTTCAAGCCAGCCCTGCTGCCCTGCCCCACAGCAAGGCGGCTCCTGCTCCCCCGGCCAGTGTCCCCACGGGTGCTGCAACTCTCCGGGCCCAGTTGCCTGCGCATGAGGCCCCGAGTCCCGAGGGGGGCCGCTTCTCATGTGCTGCTGGGGACGGGAGGCGGCGCGGGCACACGCGGCCACCGGGGCAGCGAGGTGGGGAGCGGAGGGCGCCTTCCCCGCACATCCCAGGGAGGCTGTGGCCGGGAGGACAAGGAGGAGCCCGGTCTGGGGCTCCCGCGCCTGGCAGCAGCTCTCCCCGCCCAGCTTTGCTCCGTGCGCAGCTGAGCCGCAAGTCTCTCTCGCAGCCTCTCGGGTGCACTGAGGAGCCCCCACGCCCTCCCTTCCCACCTGCCCCTTGCAAGGCAGTGAGCGACAGAGGCTGCAAAGCGCCGCACAGGTGTCTCCCGCCAAGACACATCCCTGCACCTTTGATTAGTTTCCACTCTAGCTGATATCTTTTCTACATTTGATCGGTTGACTTGCATTATACGACAGTGTTTATTTTAGTCAAGTGTTTGGTACTATTTCGTTGTTGCTTTTATATTGTTTTTATTTTGAACTTTAAACCACATGTCCAGGCCTATTTCATTGTCACTTCCTGCAACTTCTTTGGTGTCAAAGGTCACATGACCACTTCCTGATGTGATACCACTTCCTGTGAGGTCTTTGAATATGGCTCCGGGGCCCACTGGGTGATAAAAAGTTCATGATCCAGCCCCACATTCAAAAAGGTTGGACACAGCTGGGCTAGACAAAGCCTTGGCTGGTATGACTTAGTTGAAGATGATCCTACTTTAAGCAGGGAGTTTGACTAAATGACTTCCTGTGGTCCCTTCCAACCCTAATTTTTCTATGATTCAGGTACTCTTAAAAATTGTTAGTCTTTAATGGGGCAATTCTGATCATCCTTCCATTGCTAAAAGTTACCACAAATAGTAACATTATATAAATAGGGTTATTTTAATAAATTGTAATGTCAGGGTACTCTAGAGCTAGAAACTAATTATCCCTCCAATCCCAACAGTAATCTAGGAATCTCTCTTTTCCATTTGTATAAAATAATTTATTTCTAGGCCAGCACATTATTAGCCCTACACCTGTCTCTGATGCTGAGCTACATACATCTTATCCTGCTCATTAGTCCAATGTGATGGTCAGGGGGAGTGGGCAGTCCCAGAAGGAAAAAAAAAATTAAAGCTGGAAGGTTTCCCCCCCCCACCATGCAACTGCTATCTGAAGCTGCCCAGGGGTAGAAGAAGTAATCCCAGGACATACAGATTAGTAAAAAGTGCAAGTGAAAGAGACTCATAATAAGCGTAATACCACCATCATGTGTGATGCGTGTACAAGTTCGGGCATTATGTCCACACTTCACCTAATTGTTTAGATGTTGGTCCCCCTTTTTCCCCTCCCTCCCCACAAGACTATTTACCATCCATCACTTCCCCCAGGATAGTAATCTGGTTTTGAAACTGAATGAGAGACTGAGGAAACTGGATCTGCCTACCATTCTGTACTTGTCACGTTGATTAAACTTTTCACTAAATTGTACCTCCCTAAAAGGAAAAAAAAAAAAAAAAAAAAAAATTACATGCACATATGCTGCATCTCTAGAAGATACTCTTTAGAAACAAAAACAGTTTGATAAAGTTTATGGGACTAAAGGATTTGTTAATATAGATTAAAAACACACACACACACACACACACACACACACACACACACACACAAGTATGGACCTAGCTGCTTAACTGTAGGTACCCATTTTTAAAAGATGTCTGATAAAATAGTTTGACATACTGAATTGCTTCCAGATACATTCCAGAGCATAGATAAATTATTTCACCAAAGCAGACTATATTACATTTGCCTTAGATGCATCTGCCAGCTACTGTGATAAGCTTACAGGGAGCTATAAGTAAGAACGAATGTTTAGCACATCTATCATACTCATGAATTTATTTTTAAACTGGCAGTGACTTTTGACATTTGAGGCTGTTTGCAGCAGCAAGCAGGCTGATGACAGAACAGGTAAAGTGTGCATCTTAATTTGACCATAAAGGAATTAATGAAAAGTATTGCACTAGAAGCAATTAGAAAGGAGTAGAAATAGACATGAATAACCAGGCCTATATTGGTAGCTCCAGTACAAGCTGATTAGATCACAGCCACAAGCAAGAGTGAGGCACTTAAAAATTTTAAAGGCAAATTTTGTAGAAAAAACCCCAAACACTTAAAGCAGTACAAGGGTATATTTATAAGAGGCCTTAAGGGGTCTGAAGAACCTACATTCCATTTCTATCAGTGATTTGGATACACAAGAGCACCTAAATTGGAATGACTTTCAATTAAACAACCTTTGAAATGCCTATATTGCTAGTGGAAGTTTTATCCTGGATCTTAAGGGATTATGCAAGTGGAAGAAGGAGAACCTGAATACACCAATGGGTCATGAAAAAATGTAATCACTTTTTAAACTATTTTATTGTAAAGAGCGGCTCTTAAAGAGTGGCTCTTCAGAAGTAGCTGCATGACCACAAGATTTCCAGCTTACTGTAAAAGTTGTCCTGTTGGTGTCAAATCAGTTTAACACTGTACTTGAGACAGACCAGGTCTCAAAGTCCATTCTGCCTGTTCTCTGTTTTACTGGGTTCATTTGGGAGGTGTAGTACCTATGTTACTTTCAGGCTTTTCTCTTCTAGTCATCATCTGCAATAACTTTGTTTAATTCAAGCAGTCTCACTCACTCATTTCCAAATCAATTTCTCAGTAATTATTCATGACTTGACTTGTGGAATTGTTACAAAAATATTATCAAGTCATGAATAATAACTGAGAAATTGATTTGGGTTTTTTGTTGTTGTTTTTTTTAAAACATGCATACATACCACTTTCCCTGCCCACCAGCTGTGTTGCTAAGATCTTGGCAGTTAAATGAGATCAAGAAAAACGTTTGAAGTATTAACTGCAGAGTGGGATGGGCCTTATACAACATCTGTAGTAGGAAAGGGTTAATGATGGGCCTAATTATTTTTCCATCAGCTGTCATTCAGAAAACAGCTACTATAAAAAGAGACTGCAGCCCAAGCAGAATGGAAGCAATGGGCTGTTCTAGAGATGCAGGCTGAGAGATGTTTTATGTAGAGCAGTGTGCCAATCTGAAAGTTAGGAAACAAGTGAGGGACATGAAGCAGCAGTCTCCTGTTGCTTAATGCAGGATTCTTGGACTGAAGCCAGAGGGAAAGGCGAGTCCTTGAAGTAAAAGGACCAAGAACTAGAGAGGTCAAGGGTACAGTATGCAACCCTTCCAGCATTGGGGCATGACTTCAGATGTCTTGTTTCACAAAGAAGGCAGAAGGCGGCACTCCTAAAATAGTGCCAGAGGAAGTGGTGTCACAACAAGTTGCTATGCCAGACCTGGCCAGAGATGGAGCCCTTTTAAGGCAAGTTCTAGAAAACCCTCCGTCAGTTTTGAAGGGCTCATGCATCTGCTTCAAGCCCTTGTACAAGGGAAATAAAACCATTTATGAGAAGGTATCTACAGAAGCCTGGATCAGGAGAGTAGCAACCTAAGCTTTATGCTGTGCTCCACTGACCTGCCTCTGGTCTGGTGAAGAAAGAAGTGCAGTCTCCATATCCGTTCCATCCCTGGCCTCTGCTGAGCCTGCCAATTACATTTTTGCAGCATCCCACTGATTCATGAGTAGAGAGGGCCAAACTAAAGGTCACACCTGAAGAAAACATTCAGTCTTTAATAAACTGGGTTGGATTTGAAAATCCCTAATTCATTCTCATTTGCCAAGCAGGAACATTTTAGTTTGCTCTTAAAAGTTCTGAACAGTTCACTGTTAAAGCACTATAAATGTTTGGATGTACAAAGATAGATAGTCTCCACCACACTGGCAGTTACCTGGTATATAGGTACTTATACCAGATACATTATTCCTATGTAAAAAGATGAATAACCTATGCTAGTATAAGATAATTTTATACTTTTAGAACGCCATGTTTCAGCTTGGGTTATATATTGATTACAACAAAAAAATCATCACCCCCCGACCCCAATTACTACAAAGCTCTACAGACCAAGTTTAAATGAAAACCAAATGAAATCCACTTCATCATACAATTGGAATTTGTTCACTTACATCATTAAAGTCTTTTGGGTAAAAAGTAACATCAATTTAGAATTAAAATACACTGGAAGATAGACTGGAGATCCCAATCCATCAGAAATAACGTGCTGTTACCAGACACTGCCCTTCCTTATAATTTGGGGAGACTTCTTCTTGCCAGGGTTACTGTCTACTTGTCATCATTGTATTAAGTGGTCTATTCTGGTAGAGGTCAAGTGGCTTTCTGGTGAGCATCTTAATCTAATAATGTAGTTGATCCTCACACACAAGCCTTCACTTCCTAATAATCCAGTCACCAGCCAAACAGCCTGTACAAGCTACACTTTAAAATGAACAGTGCCTCATTATTTGAAAGTCAGCACCAGTGTGGCAAGACAAGCTAACAATATGCTTTCAGGTAAGAGTGTTGGTTTCATGGTTCCTCTAAGCAACTTTCTCCATGGACTGCATCCTTTGGGAGTGTTGATCACCCTCATTAGCTGAAGAAAATCTAATAGTCTGTGCAGAGGGACACCTAATACATGAAGTCTCTGTTAACACCCCAATTAGGAATTATAACAGAAATAGGTACATTAATTCTTCCTTTGACCCCAAGAAAGAAACCCATACCATTGATTTAGGTGCTAGACTAACAGGACTTGAAGCCTTCTATTTATAGCCAGCCAAGCCCTAGGAACATTATTGTTATTAATAAGCAGTAATTGCTTAACAGTTGCAGCAAGCTTCCACTTTAAGCCAAATTGTCAAACCCACAGCCTCCCCTGGGCTACCCAAAATAAAGAGAATTTCCCTTCCACTATCGTGTGCCACATCTCAGCACACAGTAGATTTTCTTCAGAAGAGTCTAGGATTAGAGTTGGTTTCTGGTTTTGTTTCCACCCCCACCACACAGAATTTTAAGACAGACAGAATCAATTGTGTTGACCTTGAGGTGGGGTTTCAACCACACTGGCTTCCAACATCCACTGCCTTAGGTGGATCCTCCTTCATCCCTCTCTCACATTCTGCTTCCCAAATTGCAGAAGGCATTATCCTGTGATCCAAGTCTTTCAATGATTTCCTGTACAAAAGAAGTTGTAAGAAAGTTGCTGTCTCCTGGAAAGGCAGCTGGAAGGGAGGGGAAAAATCCTAAATTTAGGAATATAGCCCTCTCTCTGCTGCATGTCAGCTCCTAGGAACTGTCTGCTTCTTTCTCATCCAAGTCTCTTCCAGTCCAGAAGAAAGAGGTAGCATCTGATAAAGCAAGCTATCACCTACAGAAGCTTATGCCTCTGTGAACCGGCTAGTCTCAAGGTTTGCTTATCATCCCTCTCCATATCAGGTAAGGCCCATGGTTTTGCACTGCCCTCTCCCCTTCTTCCTCCAGGACCACCTGGCATGTTTCTCCAAGAAAAAAATGGAGAAGTTTTACGTGCTGTTTGAAGGGATAACAAGAAATTAAGGGGCCTCCCTCATCTTCAGTTAGGAGGTTTTTCTACTATACTTGCATGTATAGGAAGAAACAGTCCTGCAGAATTGTGGACTGCATTATGTACATGTTAGGGACAAGTAGATGCAAGGGTTATTGCTTAACAGTACCATGTAACCCTACCTCTCCTCTCTTACCTACTAACACTCCCCCATGCACAGCTCGATTGTTTTTTTGGTTTGGGAAATTAGTTGCTTGGCAAAGGAAAAGCATTGTTCCATATCCAAGAGACAAACTAGCAAAAACTTGGGATCCATGGCTCAGAGGAGATCCAATCTATATGCTGGAAAGCCCCTTTACAGAGAGATGAGCTATGCTATCAGCTACAGAAAGCGAGAGCCAACCCACTCAATTTCTGATTCAATGAAGAACAGTTTTCAGTAAAACAGTTCTATCATCCAAAGGGAAGGTATAAACAATGATATTGGTGCTATAGCTTGTTAAAGACATGGCCTGTATGGATAGGTGCAGCTGTAAAAGCCAGGCATGTTCCATTTCAAAACACACCTTCTCTTCTTCCCCACCCCTCAAGCAACATAGTTGTAGGCATGGCCCCTACAAACCAAGATTTTTAGCATTTACAAAGCAGTATCCCCCTTCCATCCCATCCCATGGGATATTTTACCACTGTTACTGGATGTATTTAGTGGCAGAATGAGAATGCCAGAGCACCTGTGGTACTAGAAGCCCGCTCCATACAAGCAGTATTCTACACCAGGGGCCCATTTACACCATCTGTCAATATAATCCGACTGTTTCCAGTGTTTACAATTCAAATCCCAGTTTTGCAAAGCTTCTAGAGAGCTAAAGTATTCCCTCCATTTTGTTTTAAACCAAAAGGCATTCCAGGTCCATTTCCCATTCACTTTGGCCAAGGTAATTATTAAGCAATTTATTTAGAAACTTCTCCCTGCTCTCAGCAAGGAGATTGGCACTTATTAAACAAGTCAGGCAGTCCCTTCTGACCTTTAAATCACTGTAGATTACCATAGTGACCTGAATATTTTAGGCTGAACAAGATGCCTTTCTATATCCATTAGCTTGAATTGGAAGCTTAATGGAAGAACAGAGGGCCTGATCCATAAAAGGTGCTAAACACTTTGCATCTTAAAGGATACAGAGCAACTTATGTTGATCTGTCAGCCTTTTATTCTTCAGTTAAAAGATAAGTGACTATTAAGTCTGAAAATATAGTTTATTGCTCACTTGCACATTACAATAATTAAAAAAACCACAACACCCAAACAAACAAAAAACCCACTTGCACTATAATTAGTGTAGTTAACTAGATATCTTCTCCTTCATTCAGTCAGTTCAACCAAACAAATGCACTCCTATTGCTCCACTCACACAGACACACAAACGCAAGTTTAGGGTCCAGACTGAGTGTTGCACAGACAGCAGTCTGAAGTCCTGCATAGCCTACCTGCCAGCTTTTGCTGAAGTGCTTTGGGTTCTATTTCTTAAGAATTTCCTCCCATACAGAACCCTTCCTAAAAGGGAATTTGAGCAGAGATGTGTGGGGCTTAAGCAGTTCTAAAAGAGCTTGGTACATTATAAATATTAAGAGGCCTACAATCCGGACAATCTTCTACTGAAAAATGGAAATATTAGCTAGGTCAGCAGCTTCCAAGATGCTCATTAGTGATATCCCCACCACTGATGGGCCATTCCGTCTTCATGTTCAGTCACCATGACTCTGTTATCACATTCTTCCCAGCGTCTGACCTTCCCATCCTCCACCAGGATGAACTTCCACTCTATTCTAGTATCTACCGGCAAAACAACCGAGTCAGACCAGAAGCCATCTTTATCACACTTGAGTGGCAAGTAGCTGTGCCACTGACCAAGACACTCATGGTCACCAGTGACCGCGATCAGCTGGCCTTCCGAGTGGGTGATGTAGTGCACACAGAAGGTCACGTGGATGTTCTGAGGCATTGGGGGCACAGCCGCAACCCTCTTTGCTTTTGCATCCCCATCAAGGCAATCTACTGGTTCCAGTTCCTTGTCCTCTTGACTCAGCGCGATGCCAGGCTCATCTGTACTGCTGTTCTTACTAGCATCTCCCCAGACCGAGTGCTCTGGGATAACTTCCCACTCCTCGTGATCAACAGAATCCTGACCCTCAGCAATCTGACCCCGCTGGTCTTCCTTCTGCTCTTCCTGCCCAGCACTAGGAGGAGAAATGCTTGCCAAGGTATCCACACCCCATACATTGCTCTCCTGTCCTTTTTGTAGGCCCAGGTCTTCTGTAGAGTAACCAGAGATGTCATGCAGGTGCTCAGCAGTGTTCATCAGAGGGGAGGCATGTTCTTCCGTGAGCAGTGGCTCCGTTTCAGGGGGAAACGCGCCACTATGGGCTTTGCATTCTTCCTTCGTCGTAGCCGTCACACTCTCCACGAGCTCCCCAGGGCCGGATGGGACACCGGTCGTGGTTTCCAACAAGCCGGTCTTGCTGCTCTCCAGACGACATTCTGTTCAAAATAGTGAGCATATTAAGCCAGGAAAGACAACTCCAAAGGTTAAAGAGCCGAGATCGGTGGTTTAGAACGAGGGTTGTAAGCCTAAAGGCAAAGGCCCGGCAGCAACTACTGCGAGTTAACTAAACAACCTAAAGTTTACAGTGCCCATGTGACCACTTGCATTATGCAAGATCTTGCTTTAAGGACCCCCCCACAACAAAACCAAACCTGGTGCTTGCTCAGGGACCAAGGAAGCCTGAATTGCTGGTCTGTGTTCCAACCAACACACCTTGTTTCCCAATTCTGACCCGCAGACACATTATTTTGTAATAGTTTAAAAAAAAAAATGCGCTACGAGATGCCAAGGCAGCAGGGTGCCGGGCACCTCCGAGGCCAGGGAGCCCCCCACTTGACCGCCCTCCTGGACTGCTGCCAGGCAGGGTTAGCCGGCTCTGCGCAGCCCCAGCAGCACCCCGCCCCGC